ATCAATTAATCCTGGTTTCCTCAGTTTCTGATGATTATCTAGTTTTTGCACGAAATTATCGTATGTGCGGTACTTTACAAACAATCGTCAGCAAAAAGAATCAGTAACTAGCCAGTATACTGCTTTAGTGCTATCACTTAAGCTACTCAGAATGCTTCGAACGCTATTTCGAACACTTTTCATGTACTAATTCGATCATTTGTTGTTTCGTCGTCGCCACTGGTGTAGTTAGCACATTCTTCATTCTCCTCTATTTTAAGCCTCTCTCATTCAAATAAAATTCCATATGGCCGGACAAGTTGTACGTTTTACCGTGAGAGGTTATATTCTGAATTTTTTCTCTCCTTCTCTCATAGAAGCAGTTTGAAGATCCCAATGAGTGCCAGGATCATAAGCAAATTGCTTACCAGATGGATGCAACAATGGTCATAGCAACTTTTCAAACCTGATAAAGCTATCTTTCATAAGCAATGATGTAAAAATAGCATATAGATGAATGAGTACGATATCGGAAGAGGACTTACAGTAATCGAGCAATTGGTGAGGGAGGGTGCCCTCGTGTCACTTCTTCGACGTTGCACTACTGCATACATGATGATAGATACCACGCAGTAAAGAAGCGTAAGCGACGATATGATGTAGATGAGCACAATCTCATAGTTCACCGATATATAAGCCACCGTATATTCCGGATCCAGTAGCACCAATACCACAATTGTGAGCAGCTAAATTATTTGATAAATTCACTGCATCATAGCTCGGATTGGTAAATTCACATACGCGCATACATATACATGTATTTTTGAGTTTATATGTATACACAAAAATAAGTAAACAAAGCTACACTGTACGTGTAGTCTCACATGCTACGCCTTACATTAAATTTTTGTGCTTAAAATGTATTTTTTCTACAAAGCGGCACTTCTTATTCCCACTTTTACTAGGTTTGACGCATGGAAGTGAAACATAGAATATCACTCTTTCTTAGGAGGAAAAGTTGGCGGTGACCAGCGAGTCACGAAGTGACGCATGCTGGGTGTCAGCTAGTTACAGCACATTTCCACTGAAGTACTGAGCTTTCGGTCTGGTGTGGGTAATATTATCAAGGTAACAGACTGCAGAAGAACTGGGCTGATTGTGTGGCAATAATTAAAGACAACAGATAGACAAAACGGAAATGTTGTCACTCAATATTAAAAGAACGCAGGGAAAGCCGAGACCGTAGTGGAAGGAAGGATCCGATTGTACATCTGTGTGGAATTAATTGGACGAAAAAGGCGTAAAGTAAAAAAGAATGAAGTAGTTGCCATCTGTATCAGTGATGGGAAAAAAGCGACGATGAAATAACAGATGATCAAAGTAAGTGATTAGCGCAGTGCTAAAAACGAGTATTTAGGACTGCAGTGATCGCGTTCCTCCGTGTTTTTGCTCATTTCGAGCTCTGTTGAAAATGCAAAATTAACAGAGATGACAGTGGTGTGGTAACGTAACTATCAATGGTACAAAACAGTCAGTGGGGGGGATCTATCTGTGTTATAATACTGGTTGCCAAGATGACCCAGATTGTCCAGACAATAGCTGTGGGGGATTTTTCTTAAAGGCATGTCAGTGCAGGGATCCATCTGGGTGATAATACTAATTGCCAAGATTATCGCTTAGATAATGGTTGTTGTGTGTGTGATCATTCTTAATAACAAAGCTAATTCCCAAAATTCCCAAGAGTGCTTGAACAATCAATATGGGGGCCCATCTGGATGATAATACTGGCTTCCAAGATTACAAAGATCACTCGGACAATCGGTGCGAAAATCCGTTTTAATGGAAATCCACTTAGTGGTGTTGCTAGAAGGACAATGCTCATTTTCAACCTAGGTAATTAAAGCAGTCTGAGTAACAGTGCTGTAACGGCCTTTCTGGATGGTTTTATTAGTTTCCAGGATTATCAAGACCACTCGTACAGTCGATATATGGGAATCCTATATTAGTGATTTAGGCTGGGCAAATGCTCATTTTCAGAATTATTGAGATCACTCGGGTAAACAGTGCGATAATCCCATTTTACTGGATGACATTTATGGTTCTCGAAGTCACTACTGAAATGCTGAAAAAAAACTTTTGTCAAAGTAACTCGTGAAAAACTTCCCTCCCCTCCCCTCTTGTTTTCAGGAAGAGTGGAGAAGAGGTCACTCTTTCAAGGGGTCATTCTGATTTTCAACATTACCAAGACTGGTTCGACAGTCGATGATGTGGGTATCCCATGTTAGTGATATTACTAGCGATGAAAATGCCAACTTACCACAATAATAATTTTGATGGCAGCACAAATGATCAGCTGTGCTGGAATAGCGGCCATATTAGCACAAGGTGTACTGTTGTCGTTCGGCGGAAGAATGTTACGAGTTTGGAATGTAGTGCTGGCAGCTATACGATTGTTAGCATCGAATTCTGCTCGAATGGCATCCTGCTGCCCGATCACTGTTGCTGACTCAGTCCTTCTCTCTCGCCGTGTGCGTGTGTGTCAACATTTCAGGATAGTCTGTGTTGTCCCCTCCAAGATGCTTACCGGTACTCTCCTTATCGCATACCAGCTGGCGTTTGTGTTTGCCCACCGTTGCTGCCACCCCCACGTTCTCTGGATCGAAGCTGCTCTGGGACGACAACTCGTAATGCTTTCTTGCTTCCCTCGGGCACTTACTCCTGTCCATTGGTCAAGCTGTCATCTTTTTTCCGCTAATCCTGAATGCCCTGGCCTAAAAAATTACGTGTCCCTACTTCACTAGCAAAATCAAGCGCTGAACGTACCTCCGATTATCCAGGACAGTGTCGCCGACCAGTAAAAAAATTATCGGTCTAAACAGTTCGCTGGAAAAATTCCGATCCCTTAAAAATTTAACAGTCACATTAAAGTAGTATGCGCTATGTGATTCTATCTGATCCCGGATCAGTCGTATTGGGCAAAAACAAAATAAGCGACAATAATGAAGTGAATGAAATAATACATCCCCCCTTGAAAATTAATTTGACATTATATTAGATATTTACTTACGGCGTAAAAACCGACTGGGTACAAAAAATAAAATTTTCGCGAAAAAAAAACAAATTTCCTACATTTTTCGCAAAAAATAAAATTTTTCTATAAATTTTTCTAGCGAAATTCTTTCTTTGCGCCAAAATGCCTAGTTTGTAGCTGTAATCAGAATTGCTTGTATTTCTTGCTTCGTTACTAACAAATTTTCTACAATTCATTAATATCCCCAAGAAGATATTCTTCCGTTGGAAGTTCACAGTTACCATTAAAGTAAAAATCACCGTCTTATGTGGTGCTTCGCGCTTCATCCCCGTCCATGGAATTTTTGAGGTGAACAACAAGACGGAGCAGGAAGCATAGTGCCTCATATCATAGCTGAAGCATTACGAGGGGTCTAGTTCGTGAACCATAAAAATTTATTAGCAAAATTTCATAAATTCACAAAACAAATGTCAACTATGCAATTAATTATGCAAACCGAATAAACTGCACCAACATACCCGATATTCAATGGCTACCAAAAAATTGAATGTTGCAAATTTAAAATACGAACAAACGTAATTAATTTAACATAATTAAAAAAACACGAGATCGTCCACTACAATAAATCATATATCAAGACAACTGGTTAATTAACCAAGCAGAAACAGAAACTCCCCATGATCAAAAGAAAACGAATAATTTAAAGAGTATTGAATTTGAATGAAATTTAGGGATCTCGATGAGTAAAATTAAGAAGATCACAGTATTTTAAAGAGGGAGCCCAAAGGCGACAAATACAGGTTTTGAGCAGTACAACCGCAACCGAGCGCTAAGTAATTGAAATATCTAGTATCATTACCACCAGGTTTTTTTCGAAGACATCATACGTACAAAATTCGGGAGATCCCCCAACGAACACTTGAGTATATGGCAGTAAAAAGGGAAGCAAGCAAACGAATATGCATTAAAAACTGATAAGAAATTAAGGAAAACTAAGAACTCTAAAATCAAAATATATTTTGCATCAAAGAAAATGAACAACTATCGCTTAGTAGTCGTTCTTTGAAAATAACCTAGCTGTTCATTGAGAAATTTGCCCACCAAAATTTTAAGTGTCTGTGCATTAGAACCACGCATACTTGGAAGCTGAATTCAAAATCTTTAAATTGCACAAGGACTGGGGAAATCCCCTTAAAATTTCAACCTTTTAGCTTATCTGGTTGCCGAACTAACAATTTCCCCGCCAAAACTTCGACGTGCTCGTGCCTGAGAATCACGCGTATCCAGGGGCTGAATTTGAAACTCTAGCTCACACATAAACAGAAAATATCCCTGCAAACTTTCAGCTTTCCATACTGTTTGGTTCCCGACATTGCTTTTCCGTAAAAAAAACTTGCGTCTTCTTTTAAGGTGCCTGTAAGTGGGATCCAGGCGTACACGGATGATATAGAACAGGAAGGTCCCACAGGTGGTGGGCACAGACTCCCGAAGTTCCCAGCCTTCTAGATTTTGTGGTTCTTGAGTTGAAAGTGGGTAAACAAAAGTGGGTAAACATTTACATATGTGCAAAAACGCAAAATAAACTGATTAGCGCACCGACTGTCAGAGATGCGTTTTTTGCACAGTTCTCCACAGGTTTTTGTTGCCAACGGTGCCGGCTTTCCGACAGATCTCCTAGCTGAGAGAATTGAGACTGGCCACCACGACTGTCAGAAAAATTGCATCTTTCTTGCTTTTCTAGTTCCCCATTTATCAACTTACACACCAAAAACTTTCACGAGCAGTGAAAACCATATG